GAATCGTTCGTTAAAAATCGAATGCGTTGTCACCCTTGAGGACTAAGATGAAATACGTCGTTTCCTCCAGTAAAAGTAGGGTCTCCGGTTCTCTACACTCACAATACGAAACACAGCTACGTTAAAGCTGCTATTTGACGCTGGTATTCTGTGAGAGCGTGGTCCTTCCTCGGTCGAGCCGACCCATTCGTGCCCAACATCAATATAGCTTCACACAAAAAATGTAATTATAATTCCTATTTTATATAACTGCTATATGAACGAGTACTTTACACATATCTTATAATGAAACCGTATAAAAGTTATATCAAATGATAAAATTTGTTTTTAACACATTTAATCAATTCGTTTTTATTAATATTTTATTTGCGGATACCCTAGCCACAGCTCGCTCAGTCATATCGTTGTTGTTACAGGACTAGGGTTTTAGGAAAGATTAACTTTTCCAATGGAATTTTAATTAAATAGAAATGTTGTAATAATATGAAGACCCAAAACAATACAATATTTCATAAATGCAAACGACAGCCACTTTGGGAATTATCGTATGTCTTATCACACAAACATTTTACTGAGCACGGTATTTGTTTTTATTAAAGGGTAGCTTGCATCATTAATATTTTATGTACTAAGTATATCAGGAGATTCGATTTGAAGATTTCGGAAATTATTTATATTTCTTTTCACTTAGGCCGCTACAGTTATCGATGTATTACCGATGTTGATACCGCATATTATCTCTTAATTCTTCGCGCATTAATTTTAACATCTTTAATTTGGTTAGTTCGTTCGGAGAAGTATCACACTCTAAAAGAATGCCAATAAAAGCTTATTGCTGCTGTGTTTTTTTTTTATAGTATAACTCCGGAGACCCTTTTATTGGAAACGATGCATACCATCCTAACTCTCAAGGGTGATAATTCATCTGTATTTTTTAAGGAGGATTGTGTACTCGTTTGTTACCTTTATTATTACTTCAACAATACAACAATAGGGAATGTCTGTGGTAAGTGCAAGTCAGTCTCGTCTTTGTTGACAATTAATAAGTGTAGCTATATGCTAAGTACAACTTTTAATATGTTACACTCGTAAAACCCATTACTCATATAACCAATATAAACTTTGGAATTCAGACACATCGAGAGATATAAAACTTTTACTTGCATACTATAATCTCGCTCGAATAAACTGCTTTTCAATGTGCGACTGTGTAACATTGTAAAGCCTGCTCGCATTTTCAGAAATACGAGAATTTAGCGCAGGCACAAAACAAATAGTGTCGGATATGCCGGCAACTATGAATGGGATGTTGTATAACTTTCAGTTTAGCGGTACGAAATAAAACATTTTTTTTTTCATTTTGTTTTTTTCCTAATATAAATATATCATATTTTTACAATTTTCATCTACCATCCCCTTTTCATATTTCTTTATCGATATAGCGTACTACAAAATACATTAACTGTTTAGTGATAGTGTGAGAATATCCACCGCCCTGGTATATGGTCCCGTGGATGTCGTAAATGGTGACGTATGTAATCCAGGAGCTGGACAGCAGCGTCTTTCTAATAACTACTAGAAAATAAAAAATTCGGTTAATAAAAATATCCCATGGGGAGACCACTCTTCAGCAGTGAACTTTGGTAGGCTAAAACGAATACCCTAATACATGATTGAATGTCATCCTTTAATTTTGAGTCCTTCGAATTCCAGATAAAGTCATAATTTGAGTGAAAACCAATTTAAGTTTTATTTGTAAATGTATTTTGTTATCACTCGTCCCTCTAACGATCATACGAAAACCTCTCTACGATCGCATATTGCATAAGCTTTACATTACATACGACAGAAAATGTTAGTAAAAAATCAAAAGAAATCGCTGATTCAGTACATGATGTAGTAGGTAAATTGAATCATGAGACACAAAACACTAAAGGAGTTATTGAAAATAAAAAAGACAACTTTAAAGATGCAGCAAACCAAAAATATAACGATATCAATGAATCCATCAATATTGCTAAGGAAAAAAGCCAGAAAGCCGCTGCTGATGTCAAATCTAAAGCTAGCGAGGAAAAATATCAAATTAAAACTGAAATGAAAAAAAAGGAAAAGGAAAGGAAGAAGTTCTTCACTGGATTTGTACATAGGCTGCACTAAAAGTATCGGGAATGGAATATTTCCACTATTCCTGTCATAATAAAATCTTTTTAAATGAAAACTCCCTGGTTTTAAAAATCGAATACTATTTATTTATTTTAAAAAAGTTTCTCGGTCTTGTCACAAGGCTTTGTCAAACTTGTTTAGTCGTTGAGAAAATGGAATTGACTCGAGAAAATTCAAGAGCGATGATTTATTATGACTTTCGAAATGGTTTAACACAAAAACAGTGTGTTGACCGGATGATTTCTGCATTTGGTGATGAATCCCCATCCAAAATCACAATTTATGGTTCGCTGGTTTGCTGAATTTCAACGTGGACGTGTCAAGCTCAGTGATGATCCCCGTCAAGGTCGTCCAAAAACTGCAGTCACCCAAGAAAACGTTGATGCTGTGCGTAAGCTGATTGAGGAAGATCGACATGTGACATACTGCGAAATTCAGGCAACTTTAGACATTGGCATGAGTCAAATACAAATAATCTTGCATGAACAATTAGGTGTAAAAAAAGTTGTTTTCCCAATGGATACCACATTCGTTCTGTGAAGAGCAAAAAACGGCTCGCGTTACTTGGTGCGTCAGAACTCTCGAAAGATTCCACGCAGGATCCTCAAATGCTGTATACAACATCGTATCGGGTGACGAAACCCGAAACAAAAAACCAGTCACGAGTTTGGATGTTAGAAATTGAGTTAAAGCCAACAAAAATTGTTCGTTCACGGAGTGTTGCAAAAAAAATGGTGGCCACGTTTGTCTCCAAAACCGGCCATGTTACGACTATTCCTCTTGAGGGAAAAAGAACGGTTAATGCAGAATGGTATGCTAGTATTTTTTTGCCACAGGTCGTTTCTGAACTCCGTAATCATCCTCCATCACGACAATGCGAGTTCTTACACCGCACAGAAAACAAAAGAGTTTTTAGAGCAAGAAACCATAGAATTATGAGACCATCCACCGTACAGCCCCAAATGTGTCAAATTTCGCGGAGAATACTTCGAAAAGCAATAAATACATTTTTAAATAGTAATGTTGTGTCACTTCCTTGATTCCCGAAATTTTCAGTACCGCCCTCGTATACGCTATATATTTGGGGAGAAAGAGAAAATTTGAAAATGAAATAAAATAAAAGGCATGTTGCCCAAGGAATAATTGAGTTCCGCTAAGATTTAGTACACTGTATAATATAAGCCGTGCCGAGTATTGTCGGCGCACGATAATCCCATTTCATCCCATGGGTGTCGTAAGAACCGTACATAAAAAAAAGATCTAGAAATATCATAAATATATGTGCATTACGTTATATATATATATATATATATATATATATATATATATATATATATATATATATATATATATATATATATATATATATATATATATATATATATATATATTAAAACGTGTGGCGGCGCTGTCGTCGCGCCGCAATCGAAACACCCAAGCCTTAATCACGCCATCAAAATTCCTAATCATAAACAGTATATATACAACATCTCCGAACTATCACGGAGTGTTGGCCGCTCCCCGGGCAGAACACCTTGCCCGGCGGGAGATCTCCCCTTTTCATTCCACGGCCACATTGGTGAGCCGGACGTGATCTGATCACGCAACCAACAACCTTCGGAAACTTCAAGCTTCATCATCGTCATAGAATACCCCAACCGCACTGTGAAGTATCGGAATCATTTTGATTAGGAACTCGATGAAATATAAATCTCTCTCTCTCTCTCTCTCTCTCTCTCTCTCTCTCTCTCTCTCTCAGTCTCTTTTTAATATCCCTAAAAAAGACAAACATGTACATTAGCCAGCGATTGAGTATTATATTAAATTAGTCGTATTCAGGTCATCAAATATCTATTTTACGTACGTTACGAGTCAATCAATTTTTGTTCGATAGAATAACTTCATCTATTTAATGAAGTAGATTTTAAAGCAATTTTAGCTACAATTTTCTGAAGGTTTCTCAGCGTATGAACTGCACACACGTTTTTTTTAACTAAAAGTTAAAGTTACAGCATATATACGTCCCCCTCCTGGGCACAGGGCTCCGCTCATTTCTGAGAGGGTTTTAGGACAAGGAAGTGTCTGCCGGGCTGCCCCAATGCATGTTGGCGAACATCACGTCATCAAAAACTTTTTTCTATTTCTCAGACGTGCAGGTTTCTTCACGATGTTTTGCTTCACCGCCGAGCCGAGCACATGGTAAATCAGCACTTAAAATTGCATAATTACATTGATGCCGGCAGGGTTCGATCCTGGTTCGATCGCGTACACTGAAACCTACAACGAGCACTAACCATATGAACTATCACGGCTCTTATTTTTTTTATATTCTATTCTATTTTTTACTGGTGTTAAAATCAACGCCGACGCCCTCCTCACTCCTTTATCTTTAACAGGAGAGCCAAAGCCATTAAAATCTTTTAAAAGTCAATCTGTGTTTCTATTTGTAACACTGGTTTAACGGTATTTTACCCTCGTACTTCAGATTACACGTAAAGTCATTGGTCTTCTGGTTTCTCCGGTCGTGTTGGAATTTTGTTATATCGATCGATAAGAGTGAGGGAATAAAGAGCGCACCTGTGCTTAAGCATTCACCGAAATTCGGTCTGAAGGAAATTATTATTATTTTATATCTTATATCTATATAATAGTGATAATATTATATATCTAATAAATAAATCTAATATATAATAATGATAATAATTATTAACAAATGAGTGGCGGTTTCTAGATTCTACATTCCATTTCCGATTTAATTATATCCTCTTTCTCCGACATATTAACTAATAATACCATTTAAATTATTAAATCTAATATACTAAATAACCTTGTTACAGGAAGAAAACATAGCTCTTCGGCTTATAAAACAACACGCTGATGTGGAGGAGACAGAGAGCAGCCCAGCTTCCTCCGAGGACTCTTACGGCACAGGAAGTACGGGCAAGACGTACTTCGATGAAGGGGGCTACGTGGCGGGAGGTGCGAGAGACCACGACCCTTATGTGCGGAACCGTTTCAACCAGGCCGCTTCTGACAACCTGCCGAGTAACAGACCCATACCTGATACGAGAAATGCTATGTAAGTTGATTGACAATTCACGAAATTATTAAGATGTAAAATTCCTAACAAAATAAGTTTTGAATTCCTAACATTTATACCTGGTAACAATAATACGTGGTAGAGCCATGCTGCAGCTATATTATGGTTGTAGCACGAGTGGGTCGGGTCGACCGGGGAAGGACCACGCGCTCACAGAATAATAGCGTAAAATAGCAGCTTTGCTGTGTTTCGTGTAGTGAGTGTAGAGATCCGGAGATCCTTTTTTACTGGAAATGAGGCATTCCATCTTAGTCCTCAGGGGTAACAACGCATCTGCGTTTTGATTCTTAATCGAGGATAAATATAGATGTCTATGGGCCACAGCATCCACCTACCATCAGGTGGACAGTGTGCACGTCTGTCACCCTTATTGTATAAAATTATATGTGGTAGAGTCATGCTGCAGCTATATTTATAGTATAGTTGTAGCCCGAATGGGTTGGCTTGACTGAGGAAGGACCACTCTCTCACAGAATACCAGCGTAAAACAGTAGCTTAATGCTGCTGTGTTTCGTGTAGTGAGTGTAGAGATCCGGAGACTCTTTTTACTGGTAACGAGGCATTCCATTTTAGTCCTCACGGATGACAAAACATCCGCATTTTGATTTTTAATCGAGGATAGATGTAGATGTCTATGGGTCACAGCAATCACTTACCATCGGGTGGATTGTGTGCTAATTTGTCACCCTATCCTATAAAAAAAAGATTGCATTGAAAATACGCAGTAATAATTTATTTTCTTAACCTTTCATTCATCATTTATTATAGGCTATTGAAGATCACTGTTGAAGATAGGGTTCCCACAAAGATTGTCTTGTAGGTGGCATATCTGTCATAGTGGCCATGTTTAGCAGATGGGTCGGTTGTTATGCAGAAGATGCTGGCTTTCATTGAGTTCAGGGGGTTATTTGCATGCCATTAAGTCATGTATAACTGCTACGGCTAATAGCCGAAGTGCGGTTACTCCCAGGTGTAGCCGGCTAATACAAGATGTAGCCGAATGCAGTAGATGTATCATACATAATTTTAACCTACTGTCACTTGAAACGTTTTTCCGTATTTTTTACAAATTTAACCTAAATTTAACCAACTACTGCTGGCTGCTGGTTCGGTGTAACCGAACTTCGGCTTTTAGCCGTAACATAACCATTTTTAAATTTAGTCTATCCGGGCTATGTTTGGAGTGACTGAACCGATTGTAAAAAAACTTCGCAAACAGATAAAAACAATACCAGCAGTGAACTTGGCTACATTTTATACGAAAAATTTTAAGATTTAAAAAAGCGAAATATTATTTAAATAAATAGGCTTTCATCTTCTTAATAACGCTACGTAAATAAATTATATCCAAGCGAAGCCAGGGCGCGTCGGTAGTATAGAAATATAATCTCTGATGCGTCTGTTAGTGATCGTGTAACTTCTGAACGGCTTACATAGCTATGCTAGGATCTTAAAGGTAGGCGATTTAGTCAAGTTTTAAAAAAATCTAACTTTTAGATCAACATGACTCATATTCACCTTTACACACATTATCAGGACCTGATAGGCGACGCTGTGGTCGAGTGTTTAATAAATTTTATACTTAAGCTGTAAAACTCCAAAGTGAATTCGTAGAAAAAATAATCACGCCACCTTCCGGACTGCTGGTACATGTTACTTTGAGTTTGCTTTGAGTATTTAACTCAAATATGTTTTGTATATTTGTAGATAAAATGACATACCGAACCCTCTTTTATTTACATTACGCATCATTTATCTTTTTTAATCTTTGATTTAAAATGTTCGCTTTTATATATAAATATATTTGAAAGCAATTGTATCAAAGAAATTAATTCTCAAATGAGAATGTGCTTCTATTATTGCTAGGATAAAGCAGTAATTACAATAAGTATAAAAAATCTTTTCGTAAACATAACTTTTAACAATTATTCCGTCTTTTATTCATCTTCAAATTAAACATGCTTTTTTACATTTCTAGCTTAATTTATTTTCTTTTCATAGAAAAAAAAAACAAAACTGCTATTATGTATTTTTTGTTTCCAACTAATTTATGCTCAACTGGTTTTTAGTTGTATCTGTGATGCTAATACATAATTTATTACAGACGCGGGTAAGTAATGTGCAATTTTGTTTTAGATATCAATTACATTATTTGTTAATTATGACAGAAAATTGATTTTAGTGTTTGCTAGCTTTGGGAAGTAAAATGCAAAAAAGTCGCGTCAAAATCGGTCCATCCATTTCAGAGACTAGCCGGAACAAACAGACAGACAGATAATTAATTTAAAAAACGTGAAACATACTGTAAACTTAGTTTCAAATGAAGCACTTTGCAGAATAAGGTTTAATTCTATATGTTTTGTGTAATTTTACTAAACATGTTCCGAGGTATATTATTTCGTTGAAAAATTGAAACGAAGGAAAATTATTAGGATTGCATTTTATACAATATAATGTTTTCTGAAAAAAAAAAATTTATCATTACAAAAATCGTTTAAAATATTTTGAAAACAACATGAAAATTAAGAAATAATTATAAACAAATATTTAAAAATTAAAATTCGGACCCTTTCTTGTGATAACTTACAGAGTCATCGACTAAATGAAGTTTGTTAGAGGACAAGTGCCTTCGAAAAGATTAAAACAATTGCGGACGGTCATAAGGATCTTTTTTCCAAACGAGCTAAACAATAGCAATAAATTTGGTATTGAGATAATAAATTTAAGCAATTATTAATTGATTAAACGTTTATTGTTGAAAATTGTAGGTCTTTGCTATTTGTATCTTTTTTATCACTGCCCTAACCACATTTCTCTGATTCTGAAGTTTATACTTTCATACATACTATATGGCATTGAAAAAGTGAGTGTGTCTATCGGAGAGTAGATTCTTAAATTGAACTTATATATTTTACTAGCTTGCCAGGCAGACGTTGTTCTGCACTTTTCGACGACCCTTTGTATATATCCTATTAAAAATCCTTAACTTCGCAAAAAAAAATTGTGGGTCACTCATGGGCAAAAAAACTATCCTATCTGTCAAGTTGGGCCAAACTGCACACGGTGTGCAAATTTAATTAAAATCGGTTAAATAGTTTAGGAGTCCATCGCGGACAAACAACGTGACACGTAATTTATATATATTAAGATATGTGGTAGAGCCTTATTGCAGCTGTACTCTGCAACAGCATGAATGAGATGCGCAGGATGAAGGTACGCAGGAATTGATGAATGAATTCCTCACTCTCAGCAATTCCAAGCAGACACATGGCCAATTTCCTCCTATTCTCTCGATATACCACGCAATTCTACCAAACGGATTGCTTAGTCGTTCGTAATATGCACAGCAATGAAGTATTTACTACTTTAATCTGGGTAATCAATCAAGGCAGGTTGAACAGTCACATACACTAACTTACAATAATAGAAATAAAACATTAATAATATGTACAAAAAATATCAAAGAACTAATAAAAATTAAATTTACATTCCAACGTCTGTGCTAAGTAACATTTATTGTACTGAAGAGATAAAGCCGTAACATACATTTCTACATGAACACTCACGCGTATTGTTGACTCTTACGAAGTCGGCTAAATAAACGGGTCGGTTCGACCGGAAAAGGACACCTCAATGCTTCGTGTGGTTTTATAATTAGAACAGAAGATCCTTTTTATATAGGGGCAGTGAATCGAAACCAAACATTTTTAGAACTATGAAAAATTTATTATTTATAATACACAGGTTATTATAGGTGATTTACGTACGAACATTTTATCTCACAATGGCGGACAAATTGCAAACTTAACAACGTTGACAGCTGCCGTACTTCACGATGGTATAGTAGCATAGCAAGTTATACATACCTACATATACTTCTAAACGACCTGTTATACTAAACATATTGACTCACGATCTTCGCGATTATTTCATCACTACAACATTTTACTTATGGTATCCCATCTCAATCATCAATTTGATTCCTAATTCAGGATAGTTGTAGCTGTATATGGACCAAAGTACAGAGATATGACATCCACAAGAAGTAATATAACATATAACTAATATTACAGAAAGGGACATTGACCCTTACATTTTGCTAAAAAATTAACTTCCCGCTATGAAACCTGTCAAATATGTAACCTCATTTTAAGTAGCACCGCCCTGGTAACAGAAAAAGCTAAAACCTCCCATCTAAAAATTGCAAATGGGTGCTTACCGCTTACGTAATAAATGAGGTATCTTTAATTGAATATTTTTGATTATTTTTAAACAAGTTAAATAATTATTTAAAGTCAAGCAGTGCATTAGTTGCGAATGTGAGTACCAATACAAACTATTATTTATTTAATGGTACAAATCAGGGAAACAAGTATGAACACTTTTGATTAATAAATTTAAAAAAAGAAAAATAGCCTTCTTTTTTTTCAATGGATGCCAATGCTCCTACAATTTCACCGCTTTTGCAGATACTACACGACAGTGAACTTTTCTTTTGAGCCCATAGAATCATAACTAGAATAAATTAATCAGACACATAGTCCAAGAATTAAAGAATTAAATAAAATGTTCGTTTTCAGGTGCCGCTTAAAGAAGTACGACGAGGACCTCCCGGAAACCAGTGTCATAATCACGTTTCATAATGAAGCGAGATCGACGCTCCTGCGCACAATTGTCAGGTAAAATGTCTTTAATTAATATATATATATATAATAAAAGGGGTTTAGAGAAAATTAAGAGGTTTAAAGAAACATTCAAATATGGAGTTAAAAAGGGAAATGTTCTTCTAGGCAGAAATACAAATAAACTGAAAAGAAAGTCATATCCGAGTCCGTCTAAATAAGAGTGTTAGAGAAATATCTTTAGAAATTCAAAACTGTTTTATCTACATACATAAAATATAAAAATGAGAGGTGGTCTGTGGTGGAATTATTCTGTATTAGCACAGATTTATCATCATTACCACCGTCATCATCATGATCATCAGTCCGTAAATATGCCTGTTGTATGGAGTCTCAACTATCAATCATCACGCTTGGCGAACAGATTAATAACAGCGGTACCAGACGCGTCGCACTCTTGACTTCACCACCCATCACGTTTCAGTGTATTATACGTCTGAATGAAATGGTAATATCTATCGGAAGCCAATTTGTTCAACGGTGACCATTCATTACCATCATTATATTCGTTGACGTCTCCTGTGATTTTGTATACTATGTAGTCATGAGTTGACGAACCGAATCACACGAGTTTTAACCTTCCGGGGGGAAAAATAATATTTTTACTGGTATCCCAACCTATATGAACTCCCACTGGCAACACTATACACCTCATGTTATTGTGAATTTTTCGTGCCGAATCAGCGAGTCGCATCTTCAAATTAAACAGTTTAAAATTGGTTTTTAAGTGAAAGTTCTTAATTTTATTATTAGCAACATTAGAAAACTTACTTGCTTAACACTCATAAATGTTTTGGACGATTGAAATGTATGTAATTTTTGCATTTAAATAACTTATAGGGTAGATTAACTATAACGCGAAACGTGAAATCTATATTTGAAACAGAACGAGCATCTGTAAGTACATAATTTTTCAATAAACTTAATATGTATATTGTTTTTATGTATTGAATACGTATATTGCATAAGTATTAAAAAGACTGTAGGGTAGATTAATAAAATAGCAATATAAAATCAAGGTATGGGACAGAGCAAAAGTCGGTACATTACGTATTATCTGTCTTGCGGTGCCACGAAGTGGTACGCGAGGCATTGAATTTCACTTTATATGAATATTAATACGTACATATTTACTATCAAAATGTATATAATATTATTGCCCACTGTCTAATAAAATCGCAGTATGCAGTATAAAATCTATGTTTGAGACTGAACGAGTTTATACATTACATATTTGCCTTGCAATTATTAAATTAAAATCCACTACAATCATATAGGAAATATGCTAATTTTATAGACAAATTAATATCTGTTTGTCCAGCTATCTTTTATGGGTAAATGTATACAAAACAAATAAAATGTATCAAAAGAGAATAATTTTGAATATAAATTAATACTGAAAAATCATATTCAGATTTCAAGTAATCCAATTACAGAGGGCGCTTATAAAATGAAAATCCTTTTAGTACATAATGAATGTGATATTGTTTTTTGGTCCCAAACTACATATTCTTAAGTAAGACATTACAAATTGAACATATTTTAGTTTTTACTTTTGATCATAACGTTTTGTTATAATCCCCAGTTCTAAAATTTCTTATAAGACTTCAGCTATGTCATATATAAACCACATGGGTGGCATATAATTACCACATCAAGTGACATAGCTTGTAAAATTGATCTTGTGAAATATATATATTTCTTTTTTGCCTTATAAATAACATCTTAAGGTAAATCTCTCGTATGCAAAGAATCCAGGAAAACTAATGGCGAAATAAAATGGGAATCAAATTCTTAAACCTATAAAAAGATTGTCTATAAGATTTTATCCAAAGTAATAGATAAACTTAAGTTCATGCATTTGCTATTAGATAAATATAAAATAATAATTATAATATTCATAGGTAAACCTTATGTTTTATGCACTATTCTCCACAATCTTTAAACGGAATACAGAAGAAGGAATAACCTTCTAGTCTTCATAAGCCTGTTACTAAATCATTGTTAAAAAAACGACTTATTAAAATTCTTACCCTGGTCAACAACTATTATGTAAGATCTCCTTTGATCTAAACTTACCTTGCTGTGGCAGTGCTGTCAAAGAGGTATTTGTGTATGTAAAGCATAAAGATAAGCCCTTGTCTGTATATAAAATATGTCTATTGTCTTAAGTCATCGTAGATAAAGCAAGAAATTTACTTGTTCTTCCTATTATGATTTCGGCTCATACTGTGAGGTTAAACAGTTATTTTGGTGTTTATAGGAAGAAAAATAAAAAGTAGAATACAATCAAAGCTTAAGTCTAACATAATTTGGTTAACAAAGCTGAATTTCATCAAAAAGAAAAATCAAATAAATAAATAAATGTAAATAAATAAATTGATAAATAAATTGAAAAATAAATAAATAAAGTGTGTTGCCTCATAGATTTTCTCAGGGTGAGCCGATTTTGATAAATCTTTTTTTTATTTGAAAGCTGGTGCTTCAAGTGTGATCTCATGTAGATTTAAACGGGATCTGACTAAGAGTCGTCCTTAATGCGTGTTTGATTAACTTTGAATACACTGATGGTATTTTTATTTACTTATATTGAAGTCGGTTGTGTAAAGTTTTTAATTTTGCCACTTGTATCAGTTACCTCAAAATATCACTTGTGTGTCACTAAAACTGTATGAAATTTAGTAAATTCGTTGTTAATTTTGAAAACTGCTTAATATCCCTGCTATAAATCACACAATTAGTTGGGTATAGTATTTTAACAAGAAAATACTTACTTTTCCCTTCTCGTTCTAGAAGAAGTGGTATTGATGATATTGAAAGTGATAGAAAGACAACAATCTTACATCCAATTTTTTCCTTTTATTATAAGTGGCCATTATTAATTATAAATAAGAGCATTTGAAAAGTATAAAATAAATAAACAATAATTCATAATGGGAAATTATATTATCTAAATTTATATATTATGCTTATTGTTTGTTTTGTTGTAAATTGTTAATTATGATTAATTAATGACAGTAAATAATTAAAATGAAGCAATCAAATCTGTCAATATCCGCATAGTATACAAACACAGAGGAGGCGTCAACGAATATAATTATTTGATCAAAGTAACTTACCTGTAAGTGTCCTTCGATCAAAATTTTATGAAGTTGACGCTTCCTCTATGTACAACGCCTACCCTGCTGTATATTATTACCCACCCTAAGGGCTTGCTTGCTAGCCTCTCCTTAGATTACCTTACAAAGGAAATATTTGCCATAGTTGCCACACATGGCAGGCAGGCTGGCAACCACAGTTTGTTAGTTCTAGTTATTATTAGGAAAACACTGCTACCACGGACGATATGAGGTACTGGATATTCTTACATCGCCAATAAGTAAGTCAACCAATAACATGAAAGAAATTTGATCACATATTCAAAGCACCAGCGATACGAGCCATGACAAATATTCATACTAACACTACAATGTGTTTCAGTGTACTCAACCGGAGTCCGGAGCATCTGATAAAAGAGATCATTCTAGTGGACGACTTCAGTGATAACCGTGAGTAAATTATTTTTAAATTCATAAATATAATAAAATTTGTGATCACCTCTCTGTGAGTGCACTGGCAATGTTTTTTTTTTACAGAATAAGGGTGACAAGCGAGCACACAGTACACCTGATGGTAAGTGGATGCTGTGGCCCATAGACATCTACATTTATCCTCGATTAAGAATCAAAACGCAGATGTGTTGTCACCCCTGAGGACTACGATGGAATGCCTCATTTCCAGTAAAAAAGGGTCTCTACACTCACCATACGAAACACAGCAGTATTAAGTTTCTATAATGTTATTTTTATTTTGGCTCTTATCACATAATTTCCACACGTCCCGGGTTACCTGGGAGAGAATGCCAATAAAGCATTAATTTCGGCCTTTGTTGTCCTTTTTATTAAGGGGTACAATAAAGTATGAAAAAAACATAAGGTTGAACATTGTTGTCCCGTATATAAGGTGTGCATGACTTTTAATTATCTTTGTCTGTGTTTCCATAAAGGGTAACCCTTATCAATATGATTTAACTTTGTATTAAAAGTCCATACGTTTAAAAAAAACTTTCACGTTTGTTACCCAAAAGGGACGGCCCCGACCACCACCTGCATCCACTAACAGCCTGAGTGTTTCATCAGGTCGTCACCCGATCTAGTGGGGCAATAAATGAGAGGCCTATGGTAAGCTGTGAACTTGTGATTGGCTGTAGAGGTGGCAGTAATGTTTTCATCTGCTTCATCAATGTGAATAAACTTGATATTAAAAATTAATTAATAAAAAAAAACCGTGAGACTTTATCACAATACTTAAACTACGGAATCCATTTGGCGCGATTCTGGTATACCTCTCTCGATTTTTTCACATTTCCATATTTCTAGACTTACAGGACAGTCAATTGAGAGTTTGGCCCCTCTTCAATATATCGACAACTTGGTCAATAGGTAAACTTCCACCTAGAGTATCTAAAGAGCGTACAAAGTTCATTCATAGTGTTTAAACATGTAATACAACAAATAGATGGATTTTATTTTGTAGAATAAGGGTGACAGACGAGCACGCATACGTCATAGCAACATATACATTTATAATTGATTAAAAATCAAAACGCAGATTCATTGTTACCCGTGAGGACTAACATAGAATACCTAGTTCCGGTAAAAAGGATCGCCGGTTCTCTACACTCACCACACGTAATACAGCAGTGTTAAGCTGCTATTTTACGCTGATATTCTGTGAGAGCGTGGTCTTTTACCGGTTAAGCAGACTCATTCGTGCTATAACTATACTACTAATATAGGTGCAGTCTGGCCCTACCAAGTTAAAATGAATACAGGTGTCTTTGGACCATGTTTTGTGGCATTCCTAGGGGAGGCCTACATTCAAGGTTGTAATGATGAGGATGATGATAATCTCTGAAGACATAAAACGTTGTAAATTAAACGCTTTCTAATAATTCTAACACATATTTAATTACACATAACACCGAACAATAAAGAAACTCAAGTAGCAACTAGAGACGACTTATTAAATTTCAAGCATTGTTTAAAGAACAATGGCAAGCGAGACTTCATTTACTTCACATAGCTAATTGGAAAATTGGTATCGAGCTCATATCGAAACTGGAGCGTTCAGTGGTTTCATTTGTGTTGAGCTTGCTACGTTGAATTTGCGGAATAAATACTAATTTTATTAAGTCGGGTATTTTACTAGGTAACAAAAGTTAAAAGCGACAGTAGGTTAATTCGACTACGGTATTGACCCACTCTTAGCATAAGCTTTTTAAGCTAACTTAACAATGTGTTGGTAGTATTAATAGCTTTACTAGTATAAAACCATAATATATATATAATATATATATATATATATATATATATATATATATATAATGGGAATCTCGGAAACGGCTCCAACAATTTTCATAAAATGTAAGTGTCCCGGGAGTTTCGGGGGCAATAAATCGATCTAGCTAGGATTTATTTTTAGAAAATTTTTTGTCCGTGTTTTCAGGCAATGAAAAACTGCTACAATATAAGAAGGTAAATTTTGACACTTTGTTAATGATCGTAATAGCTCAAGTGGATATCGAGCGGTCGTGAAATCGTAATGCCTTGGTTCGCGTCCCGTCTTGGGTCCGACTTTTTTCCTTTTTTTTTTCAAGTTCCCTTCTTTTGTGAGAAAATCTATTATTTCGAGCCCTTTTTTAGTATTTTTTTTAAAAATACGAAAATTTTAATTAAACTAATTGCACTCATGATTTTTTATTTAAATAACCTGTTCAGTTTTTTTCTATTGTGTCAATAAGATCAAAAAATATTATTCATGTAATTTGTATATGTAAATGTGACTTAAAAAAACCGGTCATCCGGGTTATATATATATATATATATATATATAGTAGTATATTAATTTGAAATTCGATGAAAAGAAAAAGCACTAAGACATTAAAAAGAAACAAACATATACATACACCTATAGGATTAAGCCTGCGAGAAAATGAGTTACAATATTATATTTAATTAGTCGTGTTTAGACCAACTGTAGTCTATTTTACCTTGAGAGTCAATCAATTTTTGTCCGATAAAATGATTTTACCTATAGAATGAAGCTCTTTTACAAAGCAATTTTACTCCAAAGAAAATATTCTTTTGATTTATTACACTAAATTTATGTTCTACATAGCTAATAATAATCTTATAATTTATGCCGTACTTGCGGTTGAAAATTATCATATTAAATAAATAATTTGCCGTGAAATATTTTTATTTTATATTTTATTTCATATGAAGATTTCATTTCTACCGGGTGAACTGCATACATGTATCTTTTTTAAATTGTAGTCTAATTTGTTACTTTTTCTGCCTAGAAGTGCGTCTGGGTTGGTATAGTTATTATATTTCACGATGAAGGTTTCGCCTTGATTGTAGTAGCAACGTGTACAAACAGGTGCGTTTGTGTTTGACTCGCGATCGTGACTGAGCGCTCCCAAAACCTACGCACACTAACACAATGTGTATGTGCACAGCTAACAACAACCTTAATCTTGAAATAGAATAACTATTAACTATACCACTCCCTTACCTGTTTCTTTGCCACATTGTAGTGCTTGCTCTGCTGTGTTTCGATCCAAAGGGTTACAGAATATAGTTGCAAGCTGTGGGGCATGAAGACTGCAGTAGCCACTTACCATAGGGTGGACTGTAAGTTTGTTTGTCGCTTCAATTTTATATAAAAACGAGCGTTTTCCTGCGAATTCGTTCGCGTGGAATCAGCAATAGACTAATTATTTTTAAAATATGTACAAGTAGTCTAATTTACTCTGTATAACATCAGCTATCGACCCTTGACAGTTCCGTCAAAATCGGTCCAGCCATTTCAGAGATTATCCGTAACACACAGACAGACAGAAAGGCAAAAATGTTAAAAATAGTTTTTTTGTTGTAAGCTACATATACACTCACCGGCACGGAAACTTGGCCAAGCGGTTATCTTGCGATAGCAAAAGCTTTAAGTGTTTCTGATGAATGTTTGTTATGCAAGTATATCAAAAAATGTTTACCCTCAAGTTCAAGAGGGTAATTCATTATGTTTAAGTGCACCATGACGAATTCTTTAATTTTTAGTTGAATCGGGTCATTTGAGCGACTAAGTTCACATTTTAAATTTGTGTGTTGTGAAAAGTTTACTGTAAGGTTATTCAATTATTGTGATCTTGTGTCTTAATTGAATAACTAAAGGTGCTTTAAAGCCAATAAAAATGCCATTAACACCAGCACAAGTTGCACAAGCAGTAGCATTAATTGACCAAGGGCTGACTCAGCGTGAAGTTGCTATTGTGCTTAACGTACCACGGTCCTCAATGCAGTATTCACTGAAACGATACCAGGAGACAGGCCGCTACACCCGCAGGCCAGGCAGTGGGGGCGTAAGGTGCACATCGGCCCGGGACGATCGTTTTATTGTTATGGAGATTTTGAGAAACCGCTACCTCACCGCTGTTGAGATACGCCAGCGGCTCCAAATCGCAAGAGGCGTTAATGTTAGTGAGCGTACGGTGAGAAGACGAATGGAGGAAGTGAATTTAAAAGCTCGTAGACCAGCACGAGGTCCAGAACTTCTCAGACAGCACCGAGTAGCCCGACTTCAGTTCGCAAGAGAACATGTCAATTGGACCCACGAGCAATGGGCTAGAGTGTTGTTCACAGATGAGTGTCGAATAGCTTTACGTGCTCCAGACGGTCGAGAACGAGTGTGGAGAAAAGAGGAGAGAGGTTTCTACCCATTACCACCACCCACACTGTGAGTTTCCATGGAGGCTCAATAATGGTATGGGGAGGTGTAAGTTCCGACGCACGTACAGAGTTGGTCATCGTCGATAATCGGCTTACAGCTACTCGATACATCGAGGAAGTTCTTCAGGAGCACGTAATGCCTTATTCGGGATTCATTGGACACGACCAATTCCTCCTCATGCACGATAATGCACGCCCGCACGTCGCACATTGTGTAGAGGAATATCCGGAAGAGGTTGGAATACAAAAATTACATGGCCAGCTCGTAGCCCGGACTTAAATCCAATTGAGCATGTATGGGGTATGCTCAAAAGAAAGATAAAGTCCAGCTCCAAACCGCCACAAACTCTAAATGAGCTCCGAAATGCAGCGCTGGCCGCTTGGGACAGCATACCGCAAGTTGATGTCAGAAACATCATTCAAAGCATGCCAGATCGAATGCAAGCGGTTATCAGGGCTAGAGGAGGAAACACCCGATATTAAAACTGATAGACAATAAAGAAACAGACTTAATTTTTAACTTTGTAGTGTTTTTAAAGTGACAATGGAAAGATATTAATTTTAGTGAAAACATGTTATCTTGAAAAGAAAAATTTCGGTGAAGTAAACATTAAATTTCTATGTTCTAAAACCATTAGAGACACTTATTGAATGCATCTACCCTTAATTTACTGTTAAAAAAACGTTTCAGTGCAAATAATCAGCAAATTCACGAGTGGCCAAGTTTCCGTGCCGGTGAGTGTATATTTTATATGCATTTCGTAAAAAGCTTCTATTTTGATATTACAAACGGACACTTCAATTTTATTTATGTGTATATCGATACGATAGGTACCAACACTGACAGAATTAAAGGCAGAAAAATAGCACCAAGTAAAAATATTCAATAATATATTCTTCATCAAAAGTAAATCCAAATTCCATTTAACCCACCCCCCCCCCCCCCCATTCTAACTCATGAAAATGCCTAACGACTTGTTTTGCTTTTGACGCAGGGCACTGAATTTGATATTTTAAAATGTGATTACATACATGCGTACGCAGCTTATACCTACGTAACAAACGAGGTAAAAAGAAATGAAACCAATGAATTAATGTCTTGAATAAAAGTTATAACAAAATTAAAAAGAAAACGTACAATTTAGACTGATTTTTTAATCATTAGATGAAAGTTATCCATCAACTAAATTACAGTCGAAATTTAAAATTGAAACAATCGAACTATGTTACTAATACAACTGTAATTATTACTTTTTATGTCCTATAAAAAAATTTATCTGATGTTTGAAAAATTAACCCTAAAGCAATTAATGTTCTTGAGTATGGTAGAGCCATGCTGCATCTATATTGCTGGTATAGCTGTAGTAAAATGGGTCGGCTCGACCGGCTAAGGATCCCGCTCTCACAGAATACCAGCGTCAAATAGCAGCTTAACGCTGTGTTTCATTTCGTGAGTGTAGACAACCAATACCCTTTTTACTAAAAACGAAGTTATTCCATCTTAGTCCTCACAGATGACAGCGCATCTACATTTCTATTCATTATCGAGGATAGATGTAGATGTCTATTGGCCACAGTTACCACTTACCACAGGGTAGACTGTGTGCTCGTTTGCCACACTTATGCTATAAAACAAAGTTATCGCATCGTTAAACTATTACTATATCTTTTTAGGGTTCCGTAGTTTAACAACAAGGAACCATTATAGTTTCGCTATGTTCTCTCTCTGCCAGTCCAACAAAGCTGTAATTTGGCAAAGTTATAGATATTAATCATGCCTACAAAACTGTGAAATAAAATCTTGAAAACAGTTTTTTTAACCCGTCTATTCCACTTGTTGGGGAATGCCGTTGACCTGGTCATGGTCTTTTAAAAATATTTTTTCGATTCAGGGGCCCGTTTCTGAAATATATAGCTTTAAAGAAGTATTTTTATTACAGTCATGTTTCCCCACCAACTACACCGCTCTCTGAAAATGTGAAAAGTATGCACGATAGTAGTATAGAATGAAGTTAAAACAAGGTAATGAGTAAAAGTCGACCAACTTATAAAAGGTACTTCAATTAGTAAAAATTTTGTTACACTTCCATAGAAAATTACCTAAAACTAGCTGCATTATGATTTTTTAATGTAAACAACAAATAAATAAACACTCACACCTGTCACCCAGAGGGGTAGGCAGAGACTACGGACTTCCATTTGGCACGATCCTGACACACCTCCCTCGCCAACCTTTACATCCATTTATCTACGCATACACGCTCGTCGGTTAAGGATACCCCTAATCTGGCCCATTTTTAATATATTGTCAGTTTGGTCGATCTAGGGCGTTCTTTCCCGACTCTACCGTTCACATTTGCGATATAAATTTGTTTTATCACTCTTTCCTCGGTCATTCTTTCTACGTAACCAAACCACTGAAGCATTCCTTTCTTAATCCTGATCACGAAATCAACTTGCAAACCTACTTAGATTCAGGAATTATTGTAAACTTTAAAAATAAACGTTTTTTTAAGAAAACAACTTATGCATTACTACTGTAGCTTTACATTTTCTTTTACGAGGTAGACAGGGAGCATAGAGCGCCTAGAAACCAATACTAACATACCACTTTCGCTTATTTATTCGTTAGTAGTTATGGTAGGTATAAAGTTTTATTCATGGTACTCTTGATTTACGCCGGCAACCCTCGGAATAATTTAGAGCAGTGTTGGTATACAAAAAGGTTTGTAACGGTCATGTAATTTTAGAGTTGCACTGCCGGGAACTAATAGATGGGGGATAGGGATAGAAAACTATGTTCATTTTGACGTTTTCACGTGAATGATGTAATGTAGATTGTATTACTTTCAAAATCAAAAAGTTTTCAATTTTTTTTAAATACCACTCCCTATAAGTTTGCTTGGAAATTAAGTCCTTTAATTACCATCATTCTATTTGGTATCGTTTTTAGCCGCTACAGCGTCAAACCGCGAAATCTCTTAATATGAGAATATTATCAAGAAGGTCTTTTTTTTAAGTTCATGTATAGTGACGGACACCTGCGGAACCCTAACATTGTGCGTGGCCTAACACACACTTCGCCAGTTTTATTTTCAACATGCTAAGATAGCATCTATTAAGAATAAATAAAATTTAAGTGTATGTTTGTAACGTCAAAATAACAGTTTTTACTAAATGCATATGAAAGCAGTGAAAAACTGATAAAATAAATCATTAATAGATCTATTCAAGCACGGAAAGGGCGGGTCGCTAGTAAGTAGTAAAGTAAAGTAAATTTACAGCCTACATATGCCCCACTGCTGGACACAGGCCTCCTCTCATTTCTGAGAGGGTTTTGGGGCAAGGAAGTGACCATCGCGCTGCCCCAATGCGTGTTTGCGGACTTCATATGTCTTCGAAATATTTTATTTTTATTTCTCAGACATGCACCGAGCACGTGGTAAATCAGCACTTAAAATTGCAATTAACAATTTCATTGGTGCCGGCGAAGATCGAACCCGGGTTGCTCGCGTACTGTGAAATTTTGGGTCGCTAGTATTAAAATATAATTACAGTTTTATATGTTACAAACAGCTGAAGATGGCGCGGCGCTCCGAGCAATCCGCAAAGTTCGTGTCATTCGCAACACGAAGCGTGAGGGTCTGATGAGGTCCAGGGTGCGTGGAGCGGAAGCTGCCACGGCGCCCGTCCTTACTTTCCTCGACTCACACGTGGAGTGCAATGTGCACTGGCTCGAGCCTCTCCTGCAGAGGATAAAAGAGGTGAGTGAAGTTTATTTAATATTTTGCTTTCTTTGATTTTTTCCCACAAATGTTAATAATTAGTTTCCAGGTTTAATTACCGAAAATATACAAATCCGTTCAGATCACCGTGAACTATTTTAATTGTGAAAATGAAGTAAAGTATACAAATGATATACGATCCGTTGCTGGGCACACGAATCCTCTCATTTCTATGAGGTTTATGGTGCAAATAGTTCTCCGAGCTGTTTCTTTGCATTTTGGCGGACTTCAATAAAAGTGAATTTTTTTATTCCTCAAATATGCAAATTTCCTCACGATGTTTTCCTTCGCCGCACATCACGTAAATCAGCACTTGAAATTGAACATTAGTACTGGTAGAGATCCAACCACAATTTCTCTTTTTAGCTCGCTGAGCTGCTATCTTTCTCTTTCAGTTCCTTTCTGGTTTCTCTTCAACACAGATACATCTTACGCCTTTTGATTTTAAACCAAAAAAATAACTCTCTGCTCTCTCTCTCTCTCTCTCTCTCTCTCTCTCTCTCTCTCTCTCTCTCTCTAGGTCTGAAAATTTGGCTAAAAAACTTAATATATGCAACTGTATTAGAGGAGTCGACGTAACGTACTTTGTGTCAAAAAGGTGAAATGAGATCAGAATCTTTGTTGCCCTAGCTATTACCATTTGTATGCAATAAGGCAATGTTGTATAAAATCTCAGAAGCATTATTACATATTTTGTCCTTAAGGGTCTAAGGAAGATACATATTTTGTCCTTGTGGGACTAAGGAAGTTACATATTTTGAATAAAACTATTATTTACGGATTTTGTCGCGTTTAATTACAACTTTAATTTATTTTTCTATTATCCCGACGTTTCGGGTGCTTTACAGCACCCATGGCCACGGGGGGGGGGTAGCCAAAAATGAAGTTTTATTCAATCTGTAGTGTTCGCGTAAATTTAAGAAATCATTATATATTATGTCCTTAAGGGTTTAAAGAATTAGATTTACAAAGGAATAGGCAGGTTATAGGTGTACGTTTGTATGCGTCCTATCTCGTAACCTATATGCTTCTTTTGTGGCTGGACAGCCATACCGCAGGATATCTTCATGAAAAAGCGGGGAAAGGGAAAGAGGTATTATCTCATGTCAACATGATGCATTAGTGAACATGAGTAATCTACTGCATTAGTCATAATATAATATAAAAACTTACTTAAATAAACATATAAATAACTCCGTTATCATGACTGACCCGCGAGCAGAACGTAGATACTGTACTGAATACGAGCAAGTGCGAGGTTCAAAGACCTAAATATAAAAATAATAATCTGTATAACATTTATTAGAGTCAATATCTTCTGGTTTTCATACTGAACTTTTTATAGAAGAAAGTTCGCAAACTCGCAAACAGTCTACCTAATGGTAATTGAACTTGTAGCCCTACATCAACATCAATTTTTATTTAAGAATCAAAATGCAAATGCGATTTCACCCCTGAGTAAAAAACAGTGTCTTCAGCGAAGACATTTTAATATCACGATCGTGCTTCCGCTTACTAAGCGTGACGAAACAAAGCAAATCCTTCTTACAACGTGTATATAATGTACAGCAGAGAAGAAGACAAAAAAACATTGTAAGATAATTGAATTGTTGATAAAAGAAGAAGTGTTACATTCACTCGCGTAAATAATTAACGTGACTCACATTACCAGGTAACAGCGTAAGTAAATTAGACGCTACCTAGACTTAAATAGTACCTACCGTGTGAGCAGTGAACGGTTGTCCGAGATTTTAAAATGAGTGTTGAAAGTAAAATTCACAATGAATTACTACTGCATGCAATGTACCACTCGATTGAGAAATTATTTCTATGAATACTGCTAAGCCTCGACTGCTCTGTACCATGTATCTTTGTTACAATGTAGAACGTTATTTTGTATATAAGCCGCTTAAATATTATTAAATTTATTACTCCCGTGTATGATACTAGCAAACAATGGGTGCGTTTGGCAGAAAAAAGCGCTAGCAATCGCTTACAAGCGCTAAAATAGTTTTCGGCCAGGACACGATTGCTACTTCAGTAGCGCTGATACAATCCGCCATATTGCTTATTTAATTTCTTTGTTTTGAAGTAGAGTTTATAAGTTGTTTCGTGCAATATTAGTTTTAATTAATATAATGACATGAATAAACATATACATGTTATTAAAAATTCACGATTGGTAAGTTTTTAATATGAATACGTTACAAACATATATTTAAATTAGGTTAGGTTCCTCGGTTAAAACTAACATCGTGTCCTGGAGGAAAATAGCTACTTACGATTTGACAGCGCTTACCACTTACGATCGCCATTTTGCTTACAAGCGCTTGCTAGCGCTTTTTTCTGCCAAACGCACCCAATATATGTTATTTTGGGTCAGTTGATAGGTGCCAATAATTTTCACTGTTGCTACTGCTGAAACTTTGTTTGCTTGATCTTCGGGGATTGGATTAGTTATTACGAGTATGCTCTGCCTTTTGTGTCTAATTTCTACTGTATAAAGATAAATAAATAGCTCAATTATCTATATACCTAATTCGCTAACGCTGATATCCTTCTGCAGTCATTGCCTAAAGCATTATTTCACAGCGACCATTGAAAGCAAAATAAGCACGATATCAGTAGCAAATTCATAGGTAAACTTATAACATCTTTAGAAAGGTCAATTGTTGTCAGAGGTTAAAAGTCTCATTAACTGTTTTTTTAAGTACGCGCCATTAGGCAGGCACTTCTTGAAGAAGTAAAAGAAAGAATTATTGACCTCGTTGGGTAGGCGTTTTGGTGCGCCCTTAATTATTAAATTCTCTTTATGTCGAGCATATTGCATTTTTAGTTTTCCGCTGTGACTCCATCGTCAGAGGTTCCTGTATCGTGTACCGGTGACGAGACACACCATCGGGTAGATTAAATTATGCGAACGATAAGTTAATGTTTTATTATTATTCAAATATTACAAAAATATACTCCTAAATGATAGTCGCCTATAAAAGAAAATAAATTACAGGTTATTTGCCACATTCAAACTTTGAATAGAAGATTTATTTATATTATACTACATACTTTTTCTTAATAACACAGTCGGCATTTTTTAATACAAGTGCTTGTTTTTTTTTCTTTAATTCTCCACTGCTTGCATATTTGTCCGGTACGAAGTAAGCTTACAGCAACATCAACAACAACAACATTAATTTCATTAAAGCAACATTCGATAGACATAAAGGACATTAAAAATGTAGCCGATGAAGAATTTAATTCAATAACGTGCCCTTCACATGATCGAAAAATATTAAATAGTTATCGCGGAATTCGAACGTCAAAGCTTTTTCCGGGCAGTTTAAATTATAATTGTATTATCTGTTAAAAATTTAATTGAGTAAGTATTTAATATATGCGCATATTTTCCAAGCTTAGACTATTTCAAGAAATAATAATTCGTATAAAGTGCGATATTTTGTCCAACCTGGTTTCAACAAATTCAAAATAACAGTTTGGTTAGTATAATTAGTTAAATGAGGGCTAAGAAAACTTCCGCTCATCAGGTGTCGCTAATTGACATTGAAGTGTAGTTTTTCACACAATATCGTTTCATTGAGAAGTTAGTTTTAAATAAAATTTTATCAATTTCTAAGGCATTGTATTAATTTTGAGTGGTGTTTTACCACGTGTTCAGCGGTGAAAGAAAACATCGTGATGAAATCTGCATGTCTGAGAAATAAGAAAAAAAATATTTCGACGACATATGAAGTTCGCCAACACGCATTGAGACTGCGCAACGGACACTTCCTTGCCTTAACCTAAAACCCTCTCAGGATTAAGAGGCCCTATAAGGCCGGTGCCCATCAGTGAAAGTAAATAGGCTGTTACACAAGACAATTTAACACATTTTTAACTATCTTTTAAATTTTTCTACTTTTAATAACACTCGTTTAGTTTATTTATTTTTCATCTAATTAATATAAAATATAATTAATAGTATACACACAAAGAAACATTAAAGTTTACTTTTTTCGAACAAATCAACCTCTCCCCTATGAAATCTGTCTAATAACACCTCATTTGAGTGGCGCCGCCCTGATATCAGAAAAAGTCGTGGATGCCCATAGATATCTACATCTACCCTCATTGTTGCACTTTTATATTTAGTCACGTTATTTATTTCATGGTAACTGTTGTCTATGAAGTGTAGAAGTTAGGAGTACCAACTACCATAGTAGAATAGTTGAAAAAGTGATCATCTGTAAGCAGTAAATAAACAGTTCAAAAACTCTCCACAACAGTGCTGGAGTAGCTACTGGGATGAAATGAACTTAGCAGTTGTCGCCGGTTTAAGTGTGCTGCTAAACTGTTTAGTAGCTCTAAAATCTAAAATAATTTTATTTAGTAAATATAACCTCGAAAAAGTCGTCTATCCCACTAATAGTTTTCGGTGCGTTCTTTAAAGTTTACCCCGTAGCTATAGTGGTGCCACCCTTATTTAAAGATTTTTATGGACACTTTTTAATACACAGTCTGTAAGTAGAAGTAAGGAGTACTTCTACACTCCATACTTTTGTCTGATCGTTTTAACAAACAAGCTAGAAAAAGCATCAAAATTATCACACTACTAAAATCCAGCTACAAATAACAGAGGTGACGATCAAAGTATCAAAGCTTTTACTTTAAGTACGAACATTATACACTTGGGAAGGTCTGAGTAATTTATTCCACTTTCACTTATATTTGAATTTTCGTAGATAAACTACACGCAGCAAGATATCGCGTGACGGAACTGCGTTAAGATTATTAATTGTCTTTCCAACATTTACATACCTAGGTCGTATTATTTAATTCTTTAATGAATTATAATTGCACACTTCGATCGTGAAAGCGTGGACAAGCCGCTCTGACGCGATGTCCTCTACTTTAATCAATTCTATCATTAATAAAACCAAATAATATTAAAGATCCACCTCAGCCACAGAGCAACACGGGTCACC